CGGGAGGGGCATGAGACGGAGAGGCAAAAAATACCAAGACAAGCCGATGGGCATATAACCAGGACGGCAAAGAGCTCTCATTAACCATTAATCCAATGTCTATAGGCTTTTGATAATGACTCTGCTAATATTAATATTGTGTGTGTGAATGTGGTGTCTGGCTACTGTAATGTAAGGCAAACACAGACCTTCTCAGATGGTGTGGTTTATTGGAGCTTCACGACTCTTACATTCCTTTGAGAGAGAACATAGCAATACTCTGCTCCATTATTCTCTTCTCTCTCGCTCACATGCACACACACGCACACACACACACAACAAATGACCCAGCTTACCTTCGACAAATAAAATAGCGCCATTTTGCGACCTCTGACCTGAATGCAATTCTAATCTTAGCCACCATCAATCTCCTACTCTATATATGTCTTTATATTTTACACAGGATTATTATTTTTATATTGTTAATTTGTGTTCTAGGCACAACCACCAGCTGGATCTAACGTAGTGAGACCTTGTTGACGGAAGTCCTGTGGGATATGGCTATAATTGTGGTGGTAACTGTGCTGTCATGTGGCAGATTTGTGTTTCAGTTGCACTGCGACCTATCAATTCCTGCGCATGGCAGGACAGTTTTAGGTGTAACATGAAACATGGGGGGTTACGCTTCCTCTTGGCTCTAGCTCTTAAACTCTCCAGTCCACTCTGGAACACCACAGCCCTTGGCGCCGTTAATGTCAGAATTAGAAAAGGGTAGTCTCTGTAAGCCTGAACGTTCACCACTTATAACCTGGGACCTGGACTGGATGAACCTTTAAAGAGGTGACCTTGTTGCAACTTGGGCATGGAATGACCAGCCAATGACCAGGCCAAATTATATAGCTGACATCAATACAGGAGGTGAAGTTGTTGGGATGTTAGATTTGGAACCCCGACAAACACACTCACAAAACACCTCAAAGTGTAAAATAAAGTGTTTGATAGAAAGTGTAAAGAGAGTATGAGGTCAAAGAAAAGGAGAGGTGAAGAAAGGTGATCCGTGCCTGCATTGGTGGGAAGATGGGGTCGTACTCGGTCTGACACCCCACTGATACAAAGACCTTGGGAGGCGGAGGCGGAGGTGGCGTGACGGGCTTGGGAGGGGGGCTAGGTGATG